TTTTTTTTTTTTTGGTACAGGGACCTTCCGGTTTCTGGATCTACAGGGGAACCGACTAATCCGGAATCGAGTCAGGTAGGACCACAAGGGCGGCAAAGCTCTCCCTCAAGAGTTTTAACACTGCTGCATTCCTAAAGCTCGAACACGAGACCACACATGAAATGTGTGGTTTTAATAACACAAGATGTAAGAATGATATATTTAGAGATATTTTTTCTTTAATCCTATGTATTAGATTTATAGATGAGGAAGAGGGTACGGTCGCACGCAGATGAAGCGCGCTTATAAAATGGCGAACATAGATGCATCTTAGTGAAATTTCATCCTAAAATCATAAGAGAGCGAGTCTCGATGCACCCTACTAAAGTTCCATCTTAAAAAGCGCGTTTATGGATTTTTGGTCAATTTCACTTGCAATGGGTTAGTTGATCTCGAGTTCCTATAAATATGGATCTTGTTTTAATTAGTTGGTTGATACTTTAGATATATATCACTTGAACAATTTCCAAATTCATGTGACTACAGTAACTATTTATTTATATTCTTGGTACAAAAAACGGATAACCTGACACTTCCTAATATTTAACTAGTGTGTAGTCCGGCGATAGCACGGGTAAATATTATTAATTAATAATTACAAAAACAGGATAGTAAATAATATTAATTAATAAAATATATATTAATAATTAATTAAACAATATTAAATAATAATAAATTAAAGATGTAGGGTAGCATATAACATATGTAAAAAAACATTTAAAATATTCTATGTTAAGTTTAATTCTCATTCAACAGAAAATAGTTTAAATAAGGCAAAAAATCAAGATTTCAATATATACGCTAACACGACCACATGCACGAAATCGGTGATCAGACGATCTAAAAATGATCAAACGGTCATGAACAATCCATTTCACTTATAAAAGACAAATTTTCTCTTGTTTTTAGGGTTTTCATACGATCCACCGTGTGCACATTTCTTGTTTTCCCTCAACTTTGCTTCGTTCGATTCTGAAAAACGGTAAACAAATTAACCTTGTGAATCTTATGTTTTTGTTTTCAATTGATGATACTTATTTTCAGAAATCATGTAAAAATGGTGGATATTATGTTTTTTGTTCGAATTTCACTTGTTTTTTCAAATACCAAACAAATTCTTGGATATGTATTGTGTTTTTTTATTTGAGTTTAGAAAGTTAATACAAATCTCGTTTTAGTTTTTTTTTTTTTATAATTCAAAAAACATAGACTTCAAAGATGATATGTCAATTTTTTTCTTTTAATTCTCAAAGTTTATTTTACGATTTTTGATAGAACTGGGAAGAATCAATACGTTTTGTTCGATATTTGTGAAATTTTATAGAACAAAAATAGATATCTATAAAATTTTGTTCGAATATGTGATTAATGTTTGATTTTTCTTCAAATTTCAGAAAGTTTTTACCAAAACACTTGAAATCTAACATGAATTTTTGTTTATATTCAGATCTGACTTTTTGTTTCTTTACACAAAGGTCACTTTAAGGGTGGACAAGATTATATGTTACGAATATTGTTTGGTTTTTTAAAGTCGAACGCAGATCTGGGATGTATACCTTTTTTTCCCTATTTTAGAAATTAGTCTCAAAATTGACAACTTTTGGATTATGTTCGAGTTTTCCTTTTTATAAGATAAAATTTAAAAAATAATAGTATTGTATGGTGTGGAAATCAAGATTTTCTAAATTATATTAACATTGATTATTTTTAATTGAGAACTATTATAATACGGTAAATTATAATGCACTTTAACTTAATATAGTTCTGAAAGTTTATGGAATCCCTCATTTAAGGAATGATTAGATGTTTGCCGATTTTGAAATTTCAATTCTCAATTTTTAGAACTTAGAAATTTGAATGTCGCATTTTGAAATTTGACATTAAATGTTGTCTGATTTTAAAAATTATATATAAGCAAATTTGAATAAAACTTTCTAAAAAAGGAATGTAATTAATGTCCTGGATTTTTTTAGTTACTATTTTTGGTAAATGGTAATTCTTATTATATATATGTATATATGTAGATTTTTTTCTTATATATATATATATATATATATATATAGAGAGAGAGAGAGAGAGAGAGAGAGAGAGAGAGAGAAGGGATCATATGAGAATGGTAAATAGTGAAAGAAATAAGAATGAATATGTGTCATTGGATCTATGGTATCAATGGTTATGATCAAGTAAAAATTTAGTCAATCATTAATGGTAATACTGTAAATTAACATACATTGTAGTTAAATGTGCACATTTAACTAATAATTAAGGACAATATGGACATTACACATTTACCACATGACAATGGGCCCCACAAACTCAAATATCGATCAGAATCTCTCTCTCACATTGTTTTTCTCTCTCTCCATCTCTGTATCTCTCTCTATCTCTCTCTCTCTCTCTCTCTCTCTCTCTCTCTCTCTCTCTCTCTCTCTCTCTCTCTCTCTCTCTCTCGCTCCAGCAACTATTTCTCCCTCCCGCACAGTGTTAGCCTAAACGC